GCCATTTTCATGTCCCCTCTCGCCGTCTGGGGCATCTTAGGCTGGATTTGGTGGTGGGGGGGACAAATGACAAAAAAAAAATAAAAAAGTCACACAGAGCAAGAGAGAAACGTGCGAGTTGACAAGACTGATGGCAGGGCACACGCCTGTTCGAGGCAGGTGTGTGCTGACTAACAACGCGAGGGGCGGGGACCTGCATACACCCGCGCATACACACTGGGAAATACAAAAAAAAAATAAAAAAGTCACACAGAGCAAGAGAGAAACGTGCGAGTTGACAAGACTGATGGCAGGGCACACGCCTGTTCGAGGCAGGTGTGTGCTGACTAACAACGCGAGGGGCGGGGACCTGCATACACTCGCGCATACACACTGGGAATTAGTTGTAACATGGTTGTACAAATAGACAGCAACGCCTGTGGCCGCGAGGGCGCTGAATCACACAGCCGAGGATGAAATGTGGCAAGAAAGGGCCGGCGCCGGCTCCACCCTCGACAATTGGGCGAGCACGCCTGTTTGTTGTGGGATCGCCGTGCACAAGACATGTCGCCTTGGACGTGTCGTTCGTGTGTTTTAAACGCAAAGGGCCAAACACTTTTCTGGAGTAGCACAGCGCGCTTCCACCATCGTGCAGCAATGCCACGAACCCAAAAGGGTGCGAAAACGCTGGAGCTTCTCTGAGGCTCGTGCCCCCCCTCCTTCCACCCCCTGAGATGATGTCACGCATTTAAAGGAAGTCTGGACTTTGTGCCAAAGCGGGAAGGCCGGCACAAGGCTATGCGAGGGACGACTGGCCTAACACACAAGCAGGAAGGAAACAAGTGTGAGAAGATGCAGCGTTGAGTGTTTGAATTTGAAGATGTGGTCAGTGAGCGTCTGTTCCTTCCTTGTTCTCGCCACTTACACTCCGCTTTTCTCATCGTTGTTTCCCTTCTGGGGCTGTCAAGAGCCCCAGAAGGGCAATGCATGCCAGCTGTGACGCATTTTGAGAGCATGTTGCCACCTCGCTGCAGATAAGCGTGGTTATAAAACAAA